AACATTGTTCTTTTTACTGGACCGACATTGGCTCTTGTGGGGGAATTTTTATTAGGTCCGGTATCTTGACGTAGCTCTGCGTTCGGATGCCAGTATAATGATGCCACGTGGCGTACTCTTTACTGTGCAGCCCGACAACCCGATCCGGACCGGACCCAGGATTGCTATGTATTAGCTGATTTGTGCAGACCGGGGTATTGCTTGGTATTGCTTGATATTACTTGGCAATAATGAGAAATATCATTCTGTCAAGATCAATACCGAGCAATATTGAGCAATACCGTGCAATACCCCGGTTTTGCTAGGTATTGCTCGGTATTGCTGGGTATTACTCGGTATTGGTAGGTATTTGTCTTGACAGAGCGGTATTTCTCGTTGTTGCCAAGCAGTACCTAGCAATACTCGAACATAGCAATATCGGGTTCCGGTCCGGTTTAGGTCGTCGGGCCGCGCGGTAAAAAGTAAGAGCACGTGGCGACATGTTATTGGCCTCCGTATGTAGAGTTACGTTCGGTGTCCGGACCTAATAATTGTTCCTTGTGGGGAGAATTGAGCCATGTTACTATTCTGAAAGAAGAAATATGTCTTAGCGATTTTCAATAGATCTAGTAGGCCAATTTTGGTCTGGGCATTGTGTATTCATTGTTGATGTGTATTAGAATCAAGGGTTGAAGGAACCAAACATAATTAAATGAAGGCTCTGTTTGGCCCAGTTCATTATTTACTCAAATGCGAATGAGCCCATATTTTTAATGAGTCAAAGAACAAAAATGTTAGCCAAAGATGAATAAGATGTCATGTTAGATTTGGGCTATAATTGCTTCAAGAAAATATTTATGATTTCCAAGGCACAAACTTATAATAGTAGAGATTTAAAATGAGTTTTCTATAATTTTACAATATTTATATTATTTATTTAATTATAAATCTTTTAAAAATTGAACCTTATGCTTTAATTTGATTTTCAATTAAGTCTTCATTTGGAACGGGTTTCTTAATGCTTCTTAAAATAATTTTTAGTATAAAAAATTTAATTTTTAAACTAAAAAGATAATTTAAGAACATATAAAAAAGTCGCACCAATCCAAACCCAAGGCTTTGTTTGGGACGGTTTTCTTCCTGCTTGTTGAAGCAGCTTTCTAGTACAAAAATTTTAATTTTTGTACTAGAAAGCTGCTTCAAGAAGTAGGAAGAAAGCCATCTCAAACGAAGCCTAAGTTTCAAATATTTGATCTAAGCTCATTCAGATTAGAATTGTATTACTTTGGTCTTATTAATGTGTTTGACTTAGCTTTTTTGTTGATAATGACTGATCTAATTAAAGAAGCGGGAAAAACGATATTTGAGCACACAGCATAATATTTTCTTGTATTCATTTATGATTACAAATACATGTATTTATACTAGTTACATGTACTTAACATGTGGCTGGAAATGAATTTAAATCATGTGGCTGAGAATCATTTCTTGAATAAAGCTGATGTGTACTCTGCTTTAATTGTAATTTGATAAATCAGGATTGCGGCTATCTTCGTTCTGTCTATTTCCTTTTGCGACTTTCTTCGCTCTGATTGTTTTCTTCTTTTTACCCCCCTTCAAGCTGAGGATTTTCTGAAATCCTTAGCTTGTCTCTGAGAACTGATATCTTGAGGTGGAGAGCGGCTTCGTCAATATGTCTGCTATCTGTTCCCGTGTGCTTATTTTCTGAACACGAATGATATTCGAGTGTATCTGATGTAGTATAAAGTGACAGTCTATTTCTATGTGTTTTGTTCTTGCATGAAATACATAATTGTTGGCTAATGCGATCATTGAAGTATTGTCACAGTGAAGATCTGTGGGATTCCAAATTTGTATTTTGAAATCCTGTAACAGTTGTCTAAGCCAAATAATGTTCGTGATAGCTGCTGCTAGAGCTCTGTATTCAGCTTCTGTGGAAGATCTGGCCACGGTATGTTGTTTCTTTACTGTCCATGATATCGGTGTTGTTCCAAGGAACGAACAGTAACCTGAGGTAGATCTTCTCGTCACTATGTCTCCTGCCCAATCTGCATCTGAATATGACGAGAGATCTAGCGGTCCGTATGATATGGGAAGACCGTATTTTTCTGTCCCTTTGATATATCTGAGTAATCTTTTGAGAAGATATGCATGTAGTGGTTTAGGGTCATGCATGTGTTGGCAGAGTAAGTTTACATGAAATGCAATGTCAGGTCTTGTTATGGTCAAGTATTGTAAACATCCAGTTATTTGACGATATGTATATGGATCTATAAAATTAGAATCATGCGGTATGTTTTGTGGTGGTTTGGTACAAGATGGGTTAGATAAGGGCTTACATGCATGCATTCCTGTGGTTTGAAGAAGAGATTTTGCATATTATGCCTGAGATAAAAAAATAGAGTTTTCATGTTGAATGATTTGTATGCCAAGGAATTTGTTTGCCTTACCTAGATGTTTCATAGAAAATGTATTTGAAGTTTCAATATGATGCTGGATATGAGTTCGGAATTGGTACCTGTGATTAATTTGTCATCAACATACGTTAATATGTATACCTGATGATCATTCTTTGATAATATCATAAGGGACGGATCTGCTTTGCTTGGTTGAAATCCCAATTTTTGTAGACAATCTGAGAATGTGTTAAACCATTGTCTTGATGCCTGTTTTAAACCATATATTGCCTTATGAAGCTTACAAACATGTTCCGGATTTTCTCTATTTTCGTATCCCAATGGTTGTCTCATGTATATTGTGTCTGTCAGTTTTCCATGTAGAAATGCATTGTTTACATCAAGTTGTTGTACTTCCCATCTCTTGTTGAATGCAATAGTAAATAGCATCCGAATAGTGGGGAATTTAGCTACTGGACTGAATGTTTCCATATAGTTTATTCCGTATTGTTGCCTATTTCCCTGTGCAACCAGTCTTGCTTTATACCTTGCAACTGAACCATCTGAATGAAATTTTGTTTTGTAGGTCCATTTACATCCCAATATTGGAGTATTTGATGGTGGTGGTACCAACAACCAAGTTTGTTGTTGTTGAAGTGCCATAAATTCAGTCTCCATTGCTTGTCTCCAATGTGAATGTTGAGCTGCTTCTTTGTATGTGATAGGATCTTGGTTTGGAGAATGTTGATGTAAGAGGTTGAATATGGTTTTGGGTTTAAGTGAACCAGTTTTGAGTCTTGTGATTATTGGGTGTGTGTGTACAGATGGGGGAATTAATGTTTGTGTTGTAGGGTTTCTTAACTGTGATAGAGGTTCTGTGTGTTGATTTGTGGGTTGAGATGGTTGAGACGTGGTTTGTGCTTGTTGGGATATTCTTGGTGGTGTTGTAATAGTCTGGGATGTGTTTGTTGGTTGAGTTGTGGGTGTAGTCTGTGATGTGTTTGTTGGTTGAGTTGTGGGTGTTAGAAGATATGGGTTGTTGGAAATGGTATGCGTGGCTGTTGTATGATTCATCTGAGGAGTTTGGGTAAAAGGAAATACATCCTCATGAAATGTAACATGTCGAGAGATGGTTATTTTGTTGGTGTTAGGATGTAGGCATTTGTATCCTTTGTGAGAAGATGAATATCCCAAAAAAATGCATGATGTGGCTCTAAGAGCTAGTTTGTGTCGGTTTTGTGGTGGTATCTATGGAAAACATTCACATCCAAAAGTTATTAATATGGAATAATCTGGAGTCTTGTTGTATAGCATATGGAGACTTGTTTTTGGTATTTTGAGATGGCATTCTGTTGATCAAGTAAGATGCTGTAAGAACTGTGTCCGGCCAGTATTTGTATGGAATAGAAGCTGTATTGATCAATGTTCTTGTTGTTTCTATTAGATGTCTAGGTTTTCTTTCCGTCGTGTCATTCTGTTCAGGCGTGTAAGGACATGATATCTGATGCACAATTCCATGCTTTTGGAGGTAATTTTGTAATGTTCTGTTTACATACTCTGATCCACCATCTGATCTAAGTTATTTCACTTTGTATGAAAATTGCTTTTCTATCATTGTATGAAACATAATGAATGTATCTGCTACTTCACATTTTGATTTTATGGGAAATACCCATGTAAAACGAGAATGATCATCAATTAAAAAGAAGATAATATCTATATCCTTGATATGATGTAATTGGGGCAGGACCTCATACATCTGAGTGAAGTAATTCTAAAGGAACATGGGAACGAGAAATAGAAACAGGAAATTGCAATCTATGACTTTTAGCCATTTTGCAGGCTGTACAATTATCAAGGGGTTTTGGTATGTGTAGAGTATGATTAATGTTGGAAATCATTGTCATGGTTCTGATGTTGGGGTGGCTGAGTCTGTTGTGCCATGTAGTAGTGGATTGATGAATGGCAGTTAGAGTTGGTTTGAGCTTAGGAGATGTGGTGGGTATCGGATAGAGTCCTTTACGACTTGGACCATGAAGAAGAGTTTGATTTGTCTTGGTATCCTTGATAAGAAAACCTATATATATATATATATATTTAATTCATTTGATTTAATCTCAATCAAATAGCACTTATAATATATATAATTCAGACTTTACCAAACAGAGCATTTATATTCGGAAAGGTGCTGTCCCATTTGAAAAATTATTAGGTGCGGAGTGCAGACGGGGTGAGAACCGTCTGTACAGATACAGAGTACCGAGCGGTACCCAGCGGTACCGAGTGGTACCGAACGGTACCGAACACTGTTTTATACTAGTGTGCAGACGGTTCTCCCGTCCGCACTCCGTACCTAATAATTTCTCGTCCCATTTTTGATCTTTAGGGGGTTTTTCTCTTCAAACTTTTGCTCTTTATATCTTTTTTTTACACAGATAAGTATGTAACTAGTTCTTTTTAATGGAATTAGGCTATGCCCTAAACTTTCCAAAAATAAAAAATAAAAAACCCAAAAAAAATTGGCTTTCAAAGCAATTACCATTCTACATATGCAAATAAAAAGATGCAGATTAAAGGTTTTTTTTAGATTGCCGACAGTCAGGATGGATCAATCATAACGGTAAAATAGCTTATAAAATGTTTGGTAATTCTCGATTTTTTTACTTTTTATCAAACCCCAATATTATTATTATTATTCAAAAGCACAAATAAACTTTGACCCATATTCAACAAAATATATCTTTGAGCTATTCGAATCAGATATGATCTTAGGCCTTCTCCAGCCGTTCAGCAAACACGTGAATGGAGAGCCTTAGACGTTCCAACCGAACTCCAATTTTACCGTCATTCAGTCGCTGATGAACAGGGCAATGCCAATATTGACGTCACACTGTTCACTTCCATCATTTCTTTCTCTCTACGGAACTCTATTTGAGAAAGGCGCTTTTGATTTTAATGCATTTTTACAGTAAAAAATGAGAGTTTCGGTTGGAGATTCCTAATTCGTAAAGCTCTTTTATTTTTTGTTCTTTGTTTTTTACGTCTTTCTTCTTTCAAAATAAAGAAAGAAGCAAAGCGTGGATCTCAGTTCTTTCGCCTGTATCTTTCCCACGCCTTTATGAGCTGTTCCGGCGTCTTCCTCGCAGCTAACGATGACATGACTCTGGCCAATATCACCTTCCTCACCAGCAATCTCCAGGTGGCATCGTCTCCTTTCTCCTTCCCTATCTCCGGCGCCCTCACCTTAAATTGCCTGCAGCAAAAATCAAGACCCAAACCATTAATTAAAAAGCACAATTGAAGTATTTTTTATGCGTATTAACGAAGTAAACAAGCAATTTATACCTGCAAAGAGGCACCTTGCAGCTTTCCCGGTCACAAATCGACGAATGAAGCCGGAATAGCTGCCACATCCGCTTACACTGTACACAGCCACCGCCGCCGGCGAACTTCTTCCCACACCGGGCAAAGTGTTTGATAAGAAGCTGCAGTGTTTCGCAAGTGCGGAAGCTTGTGCAGGGTCCCCTGTTCCGGCTCGGTGGTTCCCCGTCATGCGGCCCGACCACCGTGCACCCTTCAGTACAAATATGCTCCAAGCATTCCATAGCCTCGCTGAGTTGCAAGAAGACCTCCTGATCCATCCTTTCTCTTCTCCACCTCTTCCTCCTCTGATCCCTCTCCGCCATAAATTGTAAAATCTCTAGCTCGAGCCGGGGGTCATGGTTCTGAACGAACCGCCAACCCTCCGTCCGTTGCAAGGCGGTGAAGTCCTTCGCCGCTACAGCGAGGCAACGCCGACGAAGCTGCGGCGCGTCGCAGAGCTGCGCGAGTTTCATCACCTCGACCACGTCATCTGATCCGACCCGCCCTCCCACGGCTGCTTCGCAGAGCCGCTTTAGCCATCCGACACGGTACGCGTGAGCGAGCGCCAGAAGCTGAACGCCGTACAGGTTCATCGCCTCCGTTGCCTCAAGAGGCGGCCGTCTGGCTTCTCCAGCGTTGAGGAAGCGGACGAATTCGAGGACGGCGTCGTAGGGGGCACCGAGAATTTTTATGGTCTGCCCTGAGATCATATTCTCTAGCACCGGCGAAGCTGCAGCCTACGGTATTGGACAGATCATGTGGAAAATTGAAAAAACAGTTAAGACTCTGTTTAGTTTGAAGGAATGATCGAAATGAAATTAGTTTTTATATCTATTAATTCATTAAACTGAATGATTTTTTTTTTTTTAGTTTTAGAAATATCTTACAAATTGAATCAAGAACATGACTTGATTCACTGTAAATCGTGAAATAAAATAAGCATGTTTTTACAGTTCCTTATGACAAATCTTTTTTATGAATTACACGGAAATTTAAAAGGCCACTAAATTTCTCCACATCAAACAAACAGTAAAAAAGATTAATTTCAAAGTTGAGTTTTTTATGGTTTACCAGGACCCTCGAATGTGCGGGGATGCTATGGCCGCCGGCGGTGACGACATGGACGTCGGCCGGAGACACGTGGCATGGCCAGGACTCCTTGGAGATTGCCGGAACACTCATGGATTACTTTCAGAGATTTAATAGATTGATGATAGGAAGAAAGAAGAATGCAGAAATAGGAAGAGAAAGAAGGTTGGGGGATAGGGGGTATATATACACACGCAGAAAGAAAGAGAGAGGAGAGAAGGGAGTATTTTTTTTAATACTTCCATAATGACGTGGACGATAGAGCTGCCGCGTCGACCAGGAGTGGATCGGCTCATGCTGATCCGAGCCGGAGTGGGCTCCTATGACTGGCAAGTGGCAAAGCGAAGCGTTAAGATTCTTCCACGTCATTGCAGCCGGTGGGCGGCGCCGTGTCGCGACGGCTCAGTTGGTGTTTAGAGATGATTATTTATTTTTGTTCTTTCTTTTCGTATTTAATAAACCTCAGTAACTGTAAATACAAATAAAAGATTACTCGCCTACGAAGTAAGAACAGCTCTCGGCATCTGCGGACGATAGGTTGGCAACCGAAAGGAAGCACTTTGTTAATCCCGTTGGATTAGGCTTAATTTAGGCTTCGTTTGGGACAACTTTCTTACTGTTTTTTAAAACGATTTTCTAGTACAAAAATTTCAAATTCAAAAAAAAATTTGTACTAAAATGTTGTTTTAGAAAGCCGTCCAAAACAAAACCTTAGAAAGCATGTGGCGAGATGCTTTGGGGTATATACGAAGGCTGATGTTAGGGCGTTTGTATTAGTTGAATAAATTCATTAAACATTTCATTTCAGACAGCTTTCTTATTATCTTTTTTAAAAAGTTTTTTAACACACAAATTGATTAAAAGCAAGGGAAAAAACAATGGCCAAATATTATCCGCGATGAAACCTAAGTGTTATTTTGGACGACTGCAACTCTTTATGAAGTGGTTTGGATGGCCTTTGCTTGGCTTGCGGATAGTTGCAGGAAGCTTCATGGCATTTCCTAAATCTCGCTGTCATCTTCGCCCCTTTTCTCATGTGTTTTTGTGCACCTTTTTTTTTTAGGTCTTTTTGTTTTGTTGTATTTGTTTTGCTGGAGCTTAATTGGTTGTAACATTTTCTTTATGAATGCAATTAGGCTAGTCCTCTTTTATTAAAAAAAAAAACTCTATATGAAGTGTTTATAAAAATTATTCTGAATAAAGAATTTTTTTTAGAATTGTTGTAAAAAAATAATTTTCTGATATAAAATTTTTGTGAAAGTAGTAGCCAAATTCTGAAAAAACAAAAGTAGTTAAAAAATTATTCTAAATAGATCATATATTGATAAAATTTTTATTTATTGTAACTCTAATTTAACTAATTATTTGAAGGTTCCGTTTATGACTGTTTTTTTACTGTTTCTTAATGTAGTTTTTTAGTATAAAAATTTAATTTTTATACTAGAAAACTACTTTAGAAACAGTAAAGAAATCGTCCCAAACGAAACCGAAATCTTTTCAAAATGCTTGGCTTAAAATCAAATTTTGTTTCTAGTCCAGATGAAGTTCCGAATTGCCTCCAAATAAAACTACCTTACATTAATTTTAAAATTGTAATTATTTTTTACAGTTAGGCAACAGTGTGAAGGAAATTTATGGATGGTCTCATATTTTTAAGGAAATTTATAGTATAACTAATTTAGAATTATCTAAAACTTTAATTATGCTAGCAGCGTATTAATAAGGTTGTTTGCATGCTAAGAATGATTTTCAACTAATCCTTACAAATTCATATCCATTTGGAGCAAGTTGGGTAAGGACTTACACGTACTAAAAGGAACTTTTATTTGGTCTGGTCACCTAACGTAGCTCTACGTTCAGACGCCAGTAAATTAGTGCCACGTGTTCTCACTATTTACCGCGCGTCCCGACAACCCGACCCGAAACAGAGCCGGGATTGCTATGTTTGCGTATTGCTAGGTATTACTCGGTACTGCTAGGTATTGGTCGATTTTGCTCGGCAATAACGAGAAATATCATTCTGTGAAGACCAATACCGAGCAATACTGAGAAATATCGATCAATACCGAGTTTTTTTCGGTATTGCTCGGTATTTCTCGGTATTGCTCGGTAGTGGTCTTAACAGAGCGGTATTTCTCTTTATTGTCAAGCAATACCTAGCAATACCGAGCAATACGCGAACATAGCAATCCCAGGTCAGGTCGTCGGACCGCGCTGTAAAGAGTACGAGCACATGGCGACATATTATTGGTGTCCGAATGTAGAGCTACATCAGATCTCCTGACCTAATAATTGTTAGACACGCTATCACATAAGTTGTTAGTACATTAGGAAATTTTTTCCTATGAATTGGACTGTAAAACTACTTAATTATAGAAAACTGAAATTTAGGTGAGAGGGGTGCTTAACCCATATTAAATGGGTAAATTTTTTGTAATATTCATAGTTATAGTATAAATAGGTCTATTAGGATTAGTTTCTTCTAATGAGAATTACTTTAAGCATTTTACTTATCATAATCACTAATATTTAGGCATATTAATTATTTATATCTTAGGTATCAATATCAACAATACAAGTGTCATTCTAAAAAAGAAAAATACGAGCATCATCATATACATAATAAACATTACATAGCATTGGAATGAATATGTATGATTTAATTAGAATCAATATTCTTCATTGATGATTAGAATATACAAGTAAAATAAGTAGACAAATAGAATAAAGGATGGAAAAGACATCATTTTCTTTTTGGTATTGTCACAATCCCATTTTGGGGTTCAAATTTAAGATTTTCACTAAGCCTCTTAATTACCAAAGGTTAGTCCATACATCTTCATTAAAACTTGGGCTACTTGTTTAAGAAATTTTCTCATTTATTGTAGGGTAGCGATCTATTACTTTTCTTAATGAATTTGAAAGTTTAGGCACTAATTAAGAGGATAATTGACAAATAGGTATGTTATGATTTGATCCAATTTAAAGTTATGTTGGCTCTTAGGTGCATTTTATCCTTCAAGCTCTTTTATTCTCTAAATAGATATGGTAGTAATAGTTCTATGGGTGCAAGCCAAACAATAAAAGATTACATTTTAATTCCCTGTTATCTCTCTCGCCTACCTTTCCTCTTTCCCTACATTCAAGAACAAGAACAGATTCTTCCTCCAAGATTCATAACAATTGGTTTTAGAGCTAGGTGGAGGGGAGGCAGAGGAAGATTCTTGTCCAAAGAAAGAAAGGAGGAGATGTCGAGCTCGCATGCAGGTTGAGATCGTGCATAGGTGGTGTTCAGAGATCGGAGAGGAGCATAAGAAGGTTGGTTGCAATCTGGTAAGCAGGTGACTGGCGGGGGTGAGCTGATTTTTCTAATGGATTTTACACATTTTTTGGCATATATGACTGCCAAAAATTGGCATTTTTTCTGTAGTATATTGTCCATGCAAACAATTTGACCCCAAAAAAAAAAAATTTCAAGTGTGTGATGGCTTTAAATGATTATTTAGAACTTTAATGCACCATTAAATAGTTGTCCCAACTAAACATAGTTGCTTACAAACTTACATGATAACAATGCATCTCTCTATATGCGTTGTAACTAGTTGCCTCAAAATGTGTTATCATAAGTTTCTCTTGCCGTGATTGATGTAATCATCTTTCTTTTTCAACTGTTAAAGTAGTCAAACAAAGGATGTGGATGACTAATTGTCTAATACGTAGAGCCACACTTCTAGAATCCATCATGTGGATACTAAAGCTTTTTTTGGGACAAATTTTAATTGCTTTTTTTCTCAGAAAAAATAATTTTTTTTTTTTTTGAAAGTTGTGAAAAAATAATGACCTGAGCTATTCCAATCAAAGCCTAAGCCTTTTTTTTTTTTTATGCCTATCAATCTATTCCAGTATTCTATCATATTTGGTAATTAGATCTAAGGGGCTTGATCAATTTTCAATGGTACTCTTTTCTTCATCCTCTTAGAACTTTAAGCGACCAGAAAGATGAAAACTTGAGTCTCACTCTAAGCTTGGGAATAAAAGCTTTTGAGCTAACTCTTAAGAATTCTTCTACTCTTGAAGTTACTTGGAAGGAGGAATAGCTCTAGCAGCACAAGTTGAGATTTTAGTATGAGCTAGGATGGGTTTGCTTTTTATCTATTTTAGATCAACGGGGAGCTTTTAATGCTGCCTTTTTTTTTTATGTGACGAGGAGGCACTGTCCTTAGGCCAGTGAAAATCCTGATCGACCTAACATGCAACCCACACCAATTTACATGGGCTAATACTTAAGACTTTCACTGCTTGTCAAGGGATTCGAACCAGGGACCTAAGCTTTGCCCAGCCAGCTCTTCACCACACAGACAAGTAGCAGTTGGTCTGCCAATATTTTTAGTATCGTTCAGCTATTTTGGCTACGGGATTGTCCTATTATTTATATTATACTGCTTATTAAGTGTTGTTTTCTGTACTTGTTCTTCGATTCCTTTTGCTCTTTTATTACGTCCGGTGTCCTGACGTAGCTCTACGTTCAGACACCAATAACATGTCGCTACGTGCTCTTACTCTTTACCGCGCAGCCCGACGACCTGACCCGGACCGGAACCCGGTATTGCTATGTTCGCGTATTGCTAGGTATTGCTAGGTGTTGCTTGACAATAATAAGAAATACCACTTTGTCAAGACCAATACCGAACAATACCTAGCAATACCGAGCAATGCCTAGCAAAATCGGGGTATTTCTAGTTATTGATCTTGACATAATGATATTTCTCGTTATTGTCGAGCAATATCAAGTAATACATAACAATACCCCGGTCTGCACAAATCAGCCAATACTTAGCAATCTCGGGTCCGGTCCGGATCCGGTCGTCGGACCGCGCGATAAAAAATAAGAATATGTAACATCATTTTACTGGCGTCCGAACGTAGATCTACTTAGGACACCGGACCTAATAAATATTCCTTTTCTCTAAACTGATCTCGGTTGTTCTCCAAGTTCCATACTTGACAAGAGATTTTTAGGAATTCGCGTCAGCTTTCTGTGCCCTGCGTTCAGCCGTTCAATATCTTTATTTTAAAAAGAACTACTTTGTTTGCTTTCAAGAAGAAGCCTTTGATCCGACTTCTATAGCCACTCTCCTTTATTAATATAGTTGATTTGCTTATCACAAATAA